TGATATTGACGCTCCCACCCACAAGCAGAAAGTGCCAGGTTTGTTCTTGGAAAACGGAGCAGGGGGGATCAGGGTCCCTTTCTCCCACTGAGCCGGGAGCAGCACTTGTTTCACACGCAGTGCCGTGTGAAACCACCCGTTCACAGCAACGTGCAGCAGGGCTCCATGCAGTACAGCTGTACCTCAGCCGATTTCAGGGGCATTTTGTTCCTGAGAGGAGTGAAGGATTTGGCTTCAAGATCATTGCTCTTCGAAGTGATGAAAAAGCAGCAAAAAGCTGCTGTTGTATAGAAATTGGCATTGTAAACTATAGTGTTCTCCCCATCCTCTACCTGAATGAAGGGATACGGAGTAAATTAACTTTGATCTCCTGGTACATGTAAAATTCAAGTCAGTAACATTGATAATAACTTAAAATAATGAGTGTACATTGAAATACTTCACACGCTTGAAGAACTGACTACTTGCTATGAAGACAAATCCTCTGAACAACTGAAGTTAGAAGTAAACAGTAAAAAATACATATTTGATAGAGGTTATGTGAGGTGCCACATGATAAGCTCCATGGAAACTGCATAACTTCCTTTCTTTATCAAGTGAAATGAGAAAACTAAATGCTATATAAAGAAAATCTATAGGCAATTATGTTCTAGCACTTCATGTTCTGCTGTATAAAAATGCAAAGATATAGCTTCTTTGAACTTTGACATTTTCATTTCCATAACTAAACCCTGTTTGTCAGTTTAGGAAAATGTCAAATCTTGCAGAGCAGAACGCAGGCCGTGTTACAGAAGAACCAGACGAATCTTACAGTGTTTCACTGAAAATATCTACAGTTTTATACAGAACAGTTGCCTGGTTCCAGAAAAGACTTCCCATAACTAGTAAAAAAAACAGCCAAACAAACCCTCCAATCTATCCTATAAGCAAAACCTTTTTTTTTTTCTTTTTGCAGGTAATTACAATACAGTGGAGATGTACAGTTTACTGCTAAAAGAAATGTCTTCCTGTCTCCCTCTCGTGCCCTATCCTGCCCTTCCGTTCAGTGGAGTTGCTGCTTCCGATCTGACAACATTAATTTGATTTGAAATGTCGCTGACACACTGTGACATTGACCTTCCCCAACCAGTGTTCCCTAGTTACTCTTGCTAAAGCTGTTTCCCTTCAAATGTGACGTACACCAGATTAAATGAAAGAACTGGCAGGCAGAATATTTGAAATCAAACTAATTATATTTAAATTATAGATTGACAATTAGCTGGGAGTCCTCCAACAATGTATATAGATAACCAAGTTATGCTCTGCTGTTAAAATTAATTTGAGATACTAAATGCAATCATACAGCTTTTGGCAATATTGTACAAGTTTCACACAGATAGTAATGACTAACATTGCTTTAGATAAGTGCTTTGAAGGCAACTGTTTTAGAATGAAGAGAGCAATACAGTCCTGCACCCCATGTCAGCGTAGCGGCCGTGTTTACAAACATATCTGATGTCAGGGCACTGGCTGCTGAGGGTTGCAAATAAACAGCATTCCATACTCCAAAGGGTGTCTGTCTCATAATCCCTGAGGCTGTGGCTGGTCGATAACGATGACGATAGGAGACAAAGAATTGGGTTATGGATTGGCCCTGTACTTCAGCAGCTTTGTAGAATAAATTTTAATTGCAGTGAAACTCGGGAAAAGCACAGAGAATGGAAAACAATACAGTTCCCTTGTCTGGTCAGTGATGTTCATGAGCCCTATGATCCTCTGGATAGAGTAACAATTCTTTAAAAGATCTCGAGGAAACTTCAGTTACAATGTTCTATTTTTTTTCTCTATTTATCCAGAACCCATGCATTAATCTTACTCCTCTTTTACTGCTTCATACCTTGCCTTTCTCACAGTCACGTTTTTCTAAAACATGAATACAATACCTCATTCTCTTTTCCTCCTGCTATTCCCTATTTAATGTGTCCTGCTTTTTTATTCTTACTCCGTAAGTGCAGAATACGTACACCAAACCTTCCTCTTCCAGAACTCTGGAAATAATCTTTAGTCATTTGGGAAGCTTCTCTTTTCCACTGAGACGAAACACAGTTTACTCAAACCCCTATCATTCCTGCCACATTTTGTCACAACCTGGATAAAACACGAATTTCCTCCTCCCGCTGTTTCAGTGAGGGCCCTTAAAGAAAAAGATTTGTGTAGCTAAATGGATGTTTTCCATAGTTCCTCCTTTTGCTAATATGAAATAATAGCTTCGCTAATGTTTTCTGATTAAAGGAGTTGGTATGAGATAATGGAAATAATTTTTATACTGTTGTACGTAAAAATAAAGAGAGCGATTAGACTGTACAGGGACTGCTAAATCAATCCTGAAAATACAGCAGGTTGCCATCTCCCTTTGACACACGAGTTCCGTTTGGGTTGGTGACGGCTGCCGGCACACTGCAAGACAGCGGGGGAGCCCCTTCATTCCGTTGGCATGGCTTGGCTTGTGTCGGGACGACACCACTACAGACACCCGTGTAAATGATAGAACGCCACCCACGCGTGTTTTGTGATACGACACGAATTCACACATTTTCCTAAAGCTGAGTGAACACATACTGTGTTATCTCCTGTTCAATAAGGATAGTATAGTGCGTTTGCTAATCGATTCCTTATGCCGATTGCTTTAAGTCCAGCAACGGGACATCATCACCTCCTCCTCCTTCTTTTCCTTCCTGCTTGAGAACGACTTCTGGGATTTTCACCCCTTTTTCAGTTGACTGGGAAGCACCTTTTGTTGCACTATTCTTGTCTTTCTTTACCTTGGTGATCACTTCTGTGTAAGAGATTTCTTCAGTGAAGGGCTCTGCTGCTGCGAGCTCAGAGGGGATGTGCACATCGGCTCCCTGGATCCCCTCCTGGCCTTCGGCTCCTGTTCGTTCTTTATTTTTTTTGTGGATCTTGAAGGTCTCCTTCGTTGGGGCAGCTTGTGAAATGGTTTTCTTGATCCTTATCCCAGATTGTTTCAGTCTCTCTCCTGACTGCCTGATCCTCTCTCTCCTCTCAGGGGTCACTATTCTAGTTCGAAGCCTGTTGACCTTCTTGCCAAAATTTTGTCTTGTCTTTTGGATATTTTCCCTTGAAAATGCCTTTTTGATATCATCTATGCGCCTCATGCCTGATTTCTTGAACTGGGTCGCTTTGCTTTCTTCAATATAATATTCTTCATCAGAAGACAGATCATCAGGTGGGAAGAAATCATCCTCCAGAGTTTCACCTGCTGTCCTCTCTTTGATAACAGAGAGAGATGAAGGACACTCGGTTTCCTCCTGTGAATGAAAGCACAGAGTCATCTTCCAGCAAGTGTGTTTTAAAAGGGTTTCTGATTCAAGCATTTTATTTGTTGGCTTGTAGTTAATTAATCCTAACTGAAATACAATATTTTAAGAAAGTAAGGTAGGCTTGTACCATCGTATGTGATCTACACAGAACGGAACTGGCATAAGACACCTTTGCTAAGCTCTGTAAAGATATTATGCCTGATTGAAGATTTCTTTCCCATGTGGTTCTACCTGAAACCAATGAGTGCCATAGTTCTGTGGGTACTGGCTTCTAATGGTTCTCAGAACAGATTTATCTTGTTGTTTTGTGGGTTTTTTTTAAGCTTATCTGCTTCTCTGAGATTGGACCTACATCCATTGTTCCTCACTGATAGAAGTAGACATTGTGTAGACAAAAGAGACTCTTGTGCTTGTGTCAGCTGTACGCTCTCCAAGTGAGTGCCTCAATGATATGAGTAGCTTCAGCCCTTTACTCTCACCAAGACAATTGCACATTTTTGACTAATTGGAATTTAGTAAACATTTCTGTTGCTCCCCAGAAAGGGATGAACCCCAACATATTGACTTACATGTGCGGACAAAGTCAGTAAAGGAATGAGATGTTATTTGGTCAACCCAGTCCCATACAAATCACTCAGCACCTGCACCTTTGCTGAGGTGAACTTGACTTGTTCCATCTGGAAACATATGAGTGATCCTGAGCAAGTCCCTCTGTCTCCTCTGGTGAGTTTGGTGGCCTGTATGAGCGTGCAGTATTACTTATTTATATTATCCATATGATGTGTATTAGCAGCATGCTTGGAAGTGGTGACTATCCTAGGTATCTTAGCACTAGGAATTCCCTGCAACCTCTCCAAAGAAAGACTGCTGGAGACTCAAAGGTCAAAGACACAGAAGATTTCCGAAAGCTGTCCACAGTAAACAAATGATTTACCAAGAATCACTTAGTGGTTGCAGACATGCAAAAAAAAAAGGGAAAAAAAGCTTGTGGTAATGGAAGGAGAAGAGAAGGCTCCAGGGAGACCTTACAGCAGCCTTCCAGTACTTAAAGGCGGCTACAGGAGAGGTGGGGAGGGACTCTGGATCAGGGAGGGTAGTGATAGGATGAGGGGGTAATGGCTTTAAACTGAAAGAGGGGAGATTTAGATGAGAAATTGGGAAGAAATTTTTCTGTGAGGGCGGTGAGGCGCTGGCACAGGCTGCCCAGAGGAGCTGTGGCTGCCCCCTCCCTGGCAGTGCTCAAGGCCAGGCTGGATGGGGCTGGGAGCGACCTGGTCTGGTGGGAGGTGTCCCTGCCCAGGGCAGGGGGTTGGAACTGGGTGGTCTGTAGGGTCCCTTCCCCCCAAACCATTCTGTGATTCTATGATTTATCTGAACAGGGAGAATCTCCTAAGAGAGTTGAACCCCTGATCTGAAGACTACTGTCTGCATGGCCATCACAAATCTCTGGTTCAGTGTCAGTGAGTCACTTCTGTCTAGAACCAGTGGTGTAGGCAGAATAGGAACCTCATGACGTGTAGGAGGTGTAGGAGATGGACAATGCCAGCCCCTTCTTCCCTACTAGCTGTTGATGTGCGTGTGCACTTCTCCCAGGAGGAGCAGCCCTTTGGGGTAGAGCCAGGTACAACAACTATGTAAAACTTCTCTAAGCTGTTTCCCATCAGTACTAGCTACTTCAGCTGATCTCTAAGGCATGACAGTGTCTGGGCTCTACCCTTAGTATTATTATCTTAATGCAGCCAATAGGGGAGGTATTAGAAGTTGTGAACCTGTGAAGAATGGGTCAGGCTTACTGAATATTTTGCTGTGAACTGATTGCTGGCCAAAAAGATGTCTGTCGTTTTTCACAGAGACTCATTCGTAGCAAGTCATGTTTAATGTTATTTTACAGACTACTAGCAATATGTAAAATAAAATACATTAAGCTATTTGGCAGATAAAGCCCACTTAAGAGTCTGTCATCATGCCTTGGCTTCATTAAAAACCCTCTAGTAAAATGGTTGTTAATGCTTAGAAAAAATAGGGACAAATTATGTTGCATTGATTACAGCAGAATCTGTCTACAGACTCATCTGTCAAAATCAGCAGGAAATGCTTTGGTAATAGTCATCTTCATTAACATGTGCAAATTAACATTAATTACATAAAGACTTCTATATATAAACATAATCCCTTCTTTTCTGAAAATGAACTAAAACACAGCTGGATAATAATTCTTCAAAGTTTGTAAATTACAGCCCACTCCTTCAGCTGAAATGGTAACAAAAATGTTGCCAGAATGACTATTCTGAAATTTCAGCACATACAGAAATGAACACAATATGGTGAATAGGGTATGCTGTTCATATGAAGATTACTTTGTAAAAAGAGAGAAGGCAGAGAGACTATTTTCTCTGCAATATTTAAGCTCTCTTCCTTTGGAAGAAGAACAAATTTTTCTGTACTTTTTGTTAATTATTTGCCAGATTTTTATTGTATTTAGCTTTATAGTCTATTAGCTAAAGAAGAGAGCGCTGTAACTTTCATACAGGTGCGTTAGAATTGAGACTTAGGAACAGTAACACGTGAGGTGAAGGCATTGTAGACAAGACACAGAGACTAGAGCTGCAGGTCCTGAGGGACATTTTTTTCATTCTGCTACAGACTCTGAGAATGATCTTTGCCAGATCTTGGATTTTCTCCTTTTCCTTGGTTTCTGCACACCTCTTGCAGAATCAAATGAAGCAAGGCTAAAAATTAGTGTGAGTTTCTATCTCCTCTCAAGTTTCCTGGATGGAAGATGTTACCAAAGTGGAAAGTATTAGTGAAACTGGCTAGTGTGTTAGGGAGGTTTCATAATAAAAATACAGTGATTTAGGCTCAGTAGGAGAGCTTTCTCATCTGCTTCTTTTCTCTGTCCTGCCCCTCTCCATTTCTTCTTTTGACTGGGTATCAGTGGGGTAGAGAGAAGAGAGGAGCTCATCCTCCCTAAAGCAGGAAGAATAAGTTTTAGCCCCAGGTGGGAAATAGATGGAGTACAAGCACATAGCTACCAGCTCATTTATAGATTCACTAAAAGCAAAGACCAACACCTGCTGATTTCAATTGCACAGGACAAAGCCCTGAACCAGGCGACAGCTTTCTTCTTGGCTTGAAAGCAGATGGGACTGGAAATAGCAGGGCTGGGCAGCCCAGTCTTAGAGGAGGGTGAGAAGGAGTTGAGCAATTGATGATGTTACTTGCAAGCTTTTGGTTAATATTCCACTTAAGCATTTGGCTAGGAAGGTGCTCACATCTGCCACCTCCACCTCATGGGAGGTTAGGGAGGATCTTCAAGCTAAATTTGTAAGTAAGTGCTCAAATAAAATGAAGATGGGAGATTATTGAACAGTAAAAAGATGATACCAAATGTCTTCAGGTATTTTTAACTAGATTTCTTGAGGAAAGAGGAGTCACATGGTCTGTCC